TCTGTTAGAAAGATGCCTTTAGGGGCTGTGTGAGGGAATAATTCCCTATCTTTCTATTTTTTAGCACATGGCATTGAGTTGCCTATAAGTAGAACCTCCCCTCACTCTTAAAAACATAGATCAAGACCCTGAAAAATACCCCAAAGTTTTTGCACTATTCTATGTCTTTTTATGATATTTTACAAGAAGAGCTAGCATAAGCTTTTTTAAAAATTCTCGGATTCTCAAGGGATTTAAGAATGGTTTAAGTGTGGATTTGGTTTATTGCTGTTGATCTCCTGTTCTTGCCCCTCTTGGTTGATATTGGCTACTGTTTCCATTAGCTCTGATGTGCTGAATCCTTACCCCTTTTGCTTTGTTGTTGTATCCAGGTACTTCTTGGACCTTGATGATTACTGAAGTGCAAACATGTCGGTTCTTTTGATACATGTATTTGTAATAAGGATTTTAGTGTTTGAGAAATGGATTTTCAGTTTCTTTACATATGTTTTCCCTTAGGTTACCTAGCTCCTTATTAGTTTCCTTTGGTTTCTTTCAACTGTACTAAGATCTGTCAAAGAGCAGTAGTTTAATAGGGAATTTTATATATTAAGGTCTAGATTAGTCCACTGTTCCTTTAAATTTAAGAATGTTGATTTAGGCATCATGTATGTTGTTTTGGCTGCTGAACCTGCGTAGTTTAATCATTTAATTTCAGCATTGCTAGAGTAATCTTTTGATATGAGAATTAGTATGCTTAATGAGTAGTTTAAAATCCATGATCATGTTACTATTGCCTGTAGCAGGTCGTTTAAATATAGTTCATAATCTGGTTGTTCATGTCTAGTATTCTTGTATTGTTTCGCCATGGATGATTTAGAAGGACACAGGGCCTGTTGGGGGCCTCAAGACTGAAAGTTTCTTCTTAAAGGTGATTGGGCCTAGCCTGGGCCTATATGAGGCAGCTTGCTTAATACTAAAAGTTTTATCATGGCCCAATACTTGGCCCTTTGAAATTTTGGTGACCTCTTGCCTTTGTCCTCATTGCTGGGCTTGACGTTGAGCCCAGCTTTCCTTGTTCTCCTTTACAAGATCTTTAAATAATAAGGGGCCTACTGCTGACCCAGAATTCCTTTAAATAAATAAGTGCCTAATATAGTAACCAAAATACGCTTATAATTAGTAGGGTTAGATTGAACTTTAATTGTGCTAAGCCTGAACATCTTTAGGCCTAATTGAGTATTAGTTCTTAAAAATGGATCGAGGTGTGCCATCCATCATTAGATCACCCATGGCCCTCACAAATATTACAACCTAGATATAATAAATTAATGCTCGTAGTTGCATTAGGCGCGTTTAATATATTATTGTGATTGTGGACACGTTCGCGTGACATAATTACGATTATAAAGACAAAATCGGAGTATGCGTTCACGCAACTTTGACCAAACTTTTTTTAATAATAATAAAGCATTACTAATTGTGGACATGTTCGCGTGACATGATTTTTGACTCGCCAAACAAACGGGTACACGTACGCGTGACTCGTTTTTAAGATAATTTCTTAATTAAAAAAGGCAAATGCACATAGGTTCTAAAATAAGTAATTAGACAATTCGATTAAGCTAAGTATGATCAAAGCGACCGTACTAAAACCATGGAACCCAGGAATGCCCTTCTCCCGGGTTAACAAAATTTCTTACCCGAATTTTTGTATTTGCAGACTGTATAACAGAGTCAAATTTCCTCGATTCGGGATTTTAAACTGGTGACTTGGGACACCAATAAACTATCCCAAGTGGAGACTCTGATTTTAATATGAATAATCCTATTTCGGTTGTCACTTAAATTGGAAAAACTCCCTTATACCCTTTCGGGGGTAGTAAAAAGGAGGTGTGACAGCTCTGACGACTCTGCTGGGGACAAGAACCCAGAATCTCTGGTTCAGGGTTCAAGAATTCGAGCTTTTTAATATGATTTTATTTGGTTTTATTTATTGTTAATATTATTATATTTTGTGAACCTTTTGTGCTAATTGTTGTCTATTTACCGCTTTGATATTATTTGAATTGTATATAACTGTCTTCTTACGCCACCCTCTGAATCTTCTGAAAATGATGCATATGTTCGCGTGACCCGCTTTTTCTGTAGAAGTCATACCAAATAGAACAAGGCTGGGCCAGCAACAAGGCCAGGTAGACTTTAGTGCTCCCGGTACGTTGCCCCCTCTTCGGCTCGAGTTGTCCGCTCGGGTAAGCCAGGTCAAGAACACAACCCCAGGTTTAAACTTAGAATAACACAACTTCATGTCAGATCCCTAGTAGGAACGTATGTTTGCTTCACACGCATTTGACTTTGGGGACTCAGCACAGGGGTTGGGTCCGTCTAGGACAGGTGTACCCAAAATAACAGACCATCCTGATGCATCCTATGTGCTATGTGAATATTTATTTGTTTCGTCTTACATGGTGACTGGCTAGGAAAAGTAAATCAAGAGGAAAACCAAGAGTGATGTAAGGAAGAAATAAAGCCCGGTTTTGAAAAATCCCTGATATTTGGAAATGTCCCGAAACTCTAGCAAAATTTTCAAAAAAAGAGAGAGAAAAAGAAAAGAGTCAAGAAAAAAGAGTCATGTCAAAATGAGTCAATAATATGTCTCTTTCAAATATGTCAAAACTGATCGAACTACGCATGTCTGATTCTCGCCGGATGTGGGATACGTAGGCAACCTACATAAGGTTCGACCTTATTTTTCAAAAAAAGAAGAAAAAAAAAAGGAGTAATTGGTCAAATAAATGTAGTTTAGGATTTTGGTCAAAAAATAAACCGATCTAGCTTCGGTTATGTCTTAAGTCGTTCTTGCCGGGATAGCCTTAGAGTATCTTCAATTGTTGAAAGGTTATTTTCATAAAGAACGGACAAGTCTGTCGGTAAAGTGTCATTTTTCCATAAAGCACCTTTCCCTGGCCTTAAAATCTATTTGGAATAGTGAAGGGGCCACGTTTGCAAAAATGACCACTTTTGCTAAGGTAGCATGGGGGGGGGGGTTAGCCATTTTCCGTTAATTTTTTTTAGAAAATTGAGAACCTGTTTTACAAAAAGAGACCACTAGAGTCAACCCTAACTTTAATCTTCCATAGGTAAAGATGAACACTATCCAAAACCCGTCACATCTGGTCATAGAACAGACTCAACTACAGCTACGCATGTGGTGGAATGATCTAGATGAAGATGGTCGGGATTGGGTAAAAGAGAAATTGAGTGCCCTTATAGACATTCTAGAAATCGAACCACGGGAGGATCTAATCAAGGCCCTGTTAACTTTTTAGGACCCCGTCCATAACGTTTTTCGTTTCTCGAATTTTTAGCTCAACCCTACTCTGGAGGAAATAGCTGGGTATATTGAGTTTGGTCGGGACATGTGGAAACAACAACTTATATTCCCAAGGGCTCCCTCTGTCCACAAGTTCTTTGACCTCCTGAATATCAGTAAGCAAATGAAGAAGGCCCATGTAAACAAAGGATGTTGTTCTTTCTACTTCTTGTACTTCAGGTTCTGTCACTAATCTGGGTTCGAAACGGATGAAAAGGGTTCGAACAACAAACAAGATAAGGTCATCTGGCAAATTCATCGTCGATTCTCTTTCATTGTGGCCTTTTGGAGATTATGGTCTTTCTAAATGCAGAAGGGACAGTGGATATCCATATGGCCAGAATTGCACAAATCCTCACTACTAAGAAAGATCATACACTTGCACCATTAGTGCTGGCAGACATTTATCGAGCATTGACATTGTGCAAGGCTGGGACTCAATTTTTTGAAGGTTGCAATATTCTTCTACAAATGTGGTTGATCGATCATCTCCGCTGTCACCCCAACTTCATAAGCTATAGTTCGAGCACAGATAACTTCATCAAGAGCTACGAGGAAAGGGTGAAAGACTACAATGCTCCAGAAGGGTTTGAGGCCTGGGTCTCCCACTTTAAAGCTCTAAAAGCAAGTCAGGTCGAGTGGACTATAGGATGACTCCCGATGACAGAAGCCATACACATGACGGCTACCAAGGGTTACCTAATGTTGATGGGTTTGAGGAGTGTCTAGCCATATATACCGCAGAGGGTCTTAAGGCAGTTAGGAAGATATCATGTGGTGCCCGAAGATGAAGATCTAACCACCCAGGTCATTGAGCTACATCCAGAAGCTATATTGCCAGAGACTTTAGTTCAGCAGGATTGAAATGGTTGCCGGTATCTGAAAAATGGCACCCAGGTACCAGATGTTGCAAAGGGGGAAGTGGATCTATATTACACTGCACGGTTTGAGAAAAGGTCTTGTGCAAACAATGAGCCCGAGCCTGAGCCCAAGCCTGAGAGGCCTGCCAAGAGACCTCATGTTCAAGATTTTGATGATAAAGTCCAAGAAAGGTTGGCCTGGGAAGAAAAGGAGAAAAAATATCAAGCCGCCATTCACGCCTTGGAAGAGAAATTGAGAAACATGGAATTCAATAATGATCTCTAGGCACAAGAAACAGAAGGTGAAAGGAGGAGGTTGGCCAAAGAAAACGAAGCCCTCCGAGCCCAAATCCGAAAAATAAAAATAGTAGCTTAGAACCCTGTCAGGAGTGAAAAAGATAAGAAATGTATAGACAAGCTCAGGACACTACAATAATTATGGTCTAACGCCACAATAGTTTTAGACAACGCCTGAAAAGTGTGCCCAAAAATATATTTGGGCACACTTTTAAGGGGTGGCCTTTGTATGGAGCTTTTGGATACGGAAAATTTGGCTACGCTTGTAAAATGTGCTCTTTAATTTATTAGGCCACACTTATTAAACGTTGCTAAATCATAAAATAATTGGAAACATTTACTTGAGTATGTGGCACTCTTTTTAAGCGCGCTCTTATTATAATTGGAAAAGAAACACTTTATAAATGTGCTCTAAAAATCCAAAAAAATATTTGGCTAAAATATAATATTCCCTCCAAAAAAATATAATGTTCCCTCTGATATACTCTAGGTAAATATTATTTTTTTCAATTTCAAAAGGGCAAAAGACTCTCCTCGCTACTTTAGCAACGCTCTCCTTGATAAAATCTCCGTGGATTAGGGTTTCTGGCTTCAATTGTGGATACTGACAAATTAATCTTCCGTATTAGGTACTGTTAATTTCTGCACCTTCTTACCCTACTTTGGGTAGTGTTTTTGTTTTCAAACTATCGTCTCAAAGGAAGAATTCCTGTTTCCCCTTTCTCTTAGGTAGTGTTTTGCATCTTCTCGCCCTCCAGCTCGTTCCAGATTGAAGAAATTTATAAAGCTAGAGAAACGGGAATTCTTGCAATCTCAGGTTGGTGCTCTTCTATTTCAATATTTTACCATCTTATGGTCTCTAATTATTGTAGTTGCCTATCTAATTTGATACTTATTCCAGAAAAGAATGAAATATAAATTAATTATTCCTCTTCTAGTCTCCAAGATTAGTAATTTATTTTAAAAATCCTACCAGATTTGTAAGCCTAATTCTACAAATCGGCTTTGTTATCTTTGAATTCATTCACCGATGGGACTTTTAAGTTTTGGTTAGACCAAAATCCAATATTTTCCTGGTCAGCTGCTTGTTAGATAGAATTTGTTTGGTTTGTGCTAAAGATATACGCGTTTTTACATGGGAAAAGAATAGTGTAGTTTTCTGCTAGATACATATGCCATTCCTTATCGAGGGTATAAGGGCATCCGAAAAGCTTATTAAAATTTTAAGCTAGCTCACTTATTGCCTTTATTTTTTCTATTTTTTGCTTGGATCCTTTCAATTAGTGTTAGAGCAAGGTCATATGTTCATATTGCAATGGAAGCAACATCGTTGGTGGTGGGTAAGGTGGAGGATTTTTTTTGAGGAATCAAATATGACGAGAAAGGACCTGCCTCATGGCATTAGTATGCGGTCAAAATTGACCTGTGAGCTTTTTTATATGTTCATAAGGAATTAAAGTTGCATCCTTTGGATCAATTTGTTGGAAAGTACTTGATTTTATCCTAAAGTGAGAATCATACCACTTGACCACAGCATCCAGTAAATGCAGTTGGATTTAACATAGTTGAAGGTTTGGAACTTACCATAGCATCCAGTAATTTTCTTTCCTCCAAAGTAATTGCTGGAGTGCCTGAAATCTGCTGTTGTTGTCCATTTTTTGTCACTGCCTTGACTGATTTTGGCACAGTTTCAACGTGCTGCTGCTGTCCAGGAGGTGAGTATGTTTCTAATTGTTGATCATCCCCTACCTTAGTACTTGACGTTTGCTTCTTCCCATGCTGTTTTGTATATGGGAAATTGATCAACAGCTCATGATCATCTCCATGTTCTCCACAAGATTCGAAAGATTGTGAGGGTACTTCAAAAACAGAAGTGTTTAATGTAACCAATGGTTGTTTAACCATATTAGTGTTCAGCATCATTTCCTTCTGGGCTTCCTTAATAATTTGTTCAACATGAGTGTTAGAAAAATGTAGTGTATGAGTAGTAGAGTTGTGCGCTTGCTTGCCCCGGTGTTGTTAAAAGTGACCGCTTCTTCGCTTAAAGCGAGAAGCGATGCGAAGCGAGACATCTGGTGCTTCTCTGATCTGAAGGGTATCAGGTACACAAAAGCGATTGCTTTTCCGGAAAAAAGCGAGAAGCGAGGAAGCAAACAAAGCGACAGAAGCGAGCGCTTTTCTTTATAGCTGGACTGCCAATATTAATTAATTAAAAAAGCTCTTTTTTTTTTAACTTCAAGATCATCAAGTTTGGTCCCAGGTATGTGATTTCTTCCTCCTCCCCCTCCTTTTCTTCTTCTTCTTCTTCTTTCTCTGTTTCAGCGTCCAAATAGCAGTGAAATGCTGGCGAATTTTTTTCCCCTTCAGTTCTTCTTTTTCTCATTCTCCACTTCTTCTTCTTCATTTTCTTACACTGTTTCAGTGATAAATTGCAGCAAAATGCTGCCCATTTTTCGTTTCAGTTATACTGCCATTTTTTGGCATACTTACTGCCATTTTTTCATACCATTTATTCTTAGTTGTCTATGCAGCATTTAGTTTACTTTTTTTAAAAATATTTTGCTTCACTTCAAAAAAGCGAGCGCTTCACTTCTCGCTTCTCACTTTAAGCGAAAAGGGGCTTGTCGCTTTTCCTCGCTTCACGCTCTTCACAACACTGGCTTACCCAGATACACCTCCATCATATTTTTCTTTGAGGCAATTGATTGGATACCCAAATCCTCAGCTAAATTGCCACTGACCTGAGCTTCTTTGCTGATGTTAAGGCATGGTACTAACTCCTTGGATAAATGAGGTGTAGGCATAAGAACAATGTCCTTTGAAGTACCTAAACAAAGATCAGCAGTCTTGGCAATTTGCTGCTCTTTTACACTGCCCGGAGATCTGGTTTGTAGATCTTTTAAACCTATGTCACCCTGCACCAATTGCAATATATTCCTAGAATTCTCCTCACCTTGCTCATGTACACTAAGCAAAACATCAAAAGAGTTAGAACACTTGAAGATTTTCGTTGCCCTTTCCAGATTTTTAAGATCTGAAGCCTCCTTCTTGCTATAAGAAATCAATAGAAACTCATGCGTAATTGATTAGACAAAGATATATTGTGAAGAGTTCAAGGAAGAAAATTAAGTTGTAAAGTTTGACAGTGAAATACCTGAATATTTTTGTTGCTATGATATAACTATAAGTTGTACACATTCTTCTAGTAGCTGCTCTCAATAGGTGCTTTCTTCTTTGACTACTAGTATATATGGCTTCAGGGTACTCATAAATTTCATATTTTTCTTGTTCTGCACCTTCGCACCAATCTCATTTTCTTTCTTGGGTATGCAAAAATTTCATATTTTTCTTGTTTCTTCGTATAGAAAGGTTATAAGTTGATTCTTTTTATTAGTATCATGAATGATTTTTCTAATGTTCTCTCTTTTAGTAATTAATGCCCTTTCTGTTCCTTTTCATGTCAAATTTTTAAATGTAAAAATATCCAATTTGAAATAGTAATTCATGTTGCAAGCTAAGATCTTGTCTTCTTAGATTCATTAGATGTTCTTCAATTTAGGTATGTGTAGATACCTTTTTTTTGTTGCAAATTGACATGGTCAACAATATATCTTTTTTATTGCTTTAATTTCCTTCGATTTGTTTTGTGGATCCTAATTTTACTTTTTTTATCCAAGAAGATAAGTTGTATTTGGCTTAGATTAAGTGTCATGACTAGGTAAGAAAGTCCTATTATTTTACAACACATAATTTTTCAGATTTATTCTTGACATTTAGGATTTAGTTTTACCATATAATTAATGCTTAAATGATTATATATTTGAAGATCTAATAAATTTTATTTTTAGGAATTCAAATATGTCATCCAAGGAATGGATGGATTTAGCAAGGTATAGCAAAGAGTATATCGAGGGTGTTCAATCTTTCTTAGATTTTGCTTACTCTTATGGAGATCCTCAAGGCGAAGAAATTTAATCCCCATGTGCAAAGTGTTGTAATATTCGTTGGGCTCGAAGGAATATAGTGTATGACCATCTAATATGTTATGGGTTTGTTCAAGGTTATACAAGATGGATTAATCATGGAGAATGGGAAATTTCGATGAATGTTAATTGTGACATGGATGATAATGTTTACTCTTACGATGATAATTTAGGTTCAGCGGTTTCTTGTGAATCTTCCTTTTGCACAACCTGCTCGCTTCCATCCTTCAAAAGAGTTGTTTGTGCACCAACAGTAGATTGATTATCAATTGGATGAGTAGCATCTTTAGCTTCCACACCTGTTGATTTATCAGTTGTTTACCCAATCTAACAGTAGGTCGATCACCATCTGTCGCACCAGCTTTTGCCTTCTCATGTGCAAACTGTTGTACATTAGGTGGTATATCTGGTTCAACTTATTCTTAATTTTTGGACTTGTCTCTAATTTCTCTGTAGCCAGTGCTAGTCGCGGTTCTGATTTATTATGTGCAAATAGTTGAAAAGAAGTTGGGAAGTTGGGTGCTGGTTCATAGGCTGAAGAAATTAAGTACCTCATACGAAAGACTGACAAATCCAGCTAACAACTGAACTTTTCCTGCCGTCTTTGCGTTTGATGAGACCTCTTCATTCATATTAAGCTGTCAAATACCTAAGTAGTCTTATAGTACATTATCTGAAGCAAAGGAAACATTTTGCAGGCTATCGCTATTTGATACATGTTCACAAATTTCCTTCTTGGACAAGAGTTAACTGCTTCTGAACTTAACACCTATTTTTTGATTAAAAAACTGCAAAAGCGCTTAGGTCTGATCCTTTTCCTTCGTTCACTGAGAATGAATACCGTTCGATTGTGCTGGATGTTGCCAATGAATTCCAGCTAGGAAGTAACATGAAAACTACAAAATGAAACTTCATATTAAAATGGTTATGATCATTGTCACTGAAAAATCTATTGACATTCTTGGCTATATTTTGAGGTATGTTAAACTTTTATTTAATCTGACTTGACTTGTTAATTAGTGTTTGATCTATCTTGACTTGTAAGTGATGTGTAATAACATTTTTTTGACAGTCTGAACTTCAGAATCGCCAAAGTTCTGGAGAAACAACTGATGATGCATTTAGGGTTGTATTTGGAAAGGAGCAGCCTGGTCGGGTTAGATGCTATAGTAGATCGGTGACGACAAGCTCTCTGAAAAAAGATGAAGAAATCACCAAGCTTAAACAAATGCATACCAACAAAATAACTTCTCTGAAGGAAGAAATGAAGGAAATGATGAGGGAAGAAATGCGATCTTTTTTAGTCAATTGGTGAAAAACAACCCTGGACTAGATTTTCATGATATACAAGGGTGTGTTGGATCTAATATTCCTTCACCGGTTGATGCAAGTAGTGCACGAGCTATGAGAGGCAAAAATCTACAACATTCTTCTGGATCAACTCATGCCCCGAGTATTGAAAAGGTATTTATACTTTACAATTCCAAAAAACTACCTCAATCTTAAGTAACTTACAAAATCATGCTTTCTATAAGTGTGTGATAGGAAACTAAATCTATTGCCATGACGAAGATTCTAGGGTCATAATGTTTGAAAGTAGACTATAGAAAAAATATTTGCAGAGTTGGTTATTGGTATCTCAATAGGTATTTTGTTTCTTTAAGGAGATCATTTTGGAACAGTGTTATCTATAAATATTTTAAGTTCATGTATAATGATTTCTTAATAAGCACACAAGGTTTAATGCAATGATTTGAGGCACAAAAAGAAAATATCAAAGATTTGCATTTGACAAGAGTATTCCAATCCTTTTGAAGGGTCTGTAAATTGTAGCTTCTAATTTTTATACTATTTCGTGTGTGTGTGTGTGTTGTTTCCTAATTTTTTCATTTTGAATGTGTAGGAAAATACAGGTGATGCAATTGGAAATGGTGGCCACAAATCAATTTGAATCATTAAAGTGAATGGTGAAGACCTTTTGAACAAGATGTTTATTTTTGTTGACACTAAATATGAGTATATTTGATTTTGTAGAGGTCTTTGCTAGTGAACTTCTTGAACCAACATTGCTTTATTACTATTGATAGTACACAAAGTGTGTTTCTTTTGTTGAAATTTATTTCAAGTATATGCATTTGAATTATTTTTATTCTATTACTTATCATTTAAATTAATGCTTCATATATATATATATATATGTGTGTGNATATATATATATATATATATATATATATATATGTGTGTGTGTGTGTGTGTGTGTGTGTGTGCGCGTGTGTGTATGTGTGTATGTGTGTGTGTGTATGTGAGAGCGAGAACTTGATGCAAACAAATATAGTTTTTTAACCACAAAATTGTGGCTAATATAAGTATTTGAAAAATAATTTGGTAGTGTCGACAAAATCGCCACACTTAGAAAGTGTGGCCATAGGAATTGTCAATCTGGCATTATTAATGATAATTGTTGCTCTAGAAGCCACACCTTGTAAGCGTAGCCTATAACGTGACAATGATCATGCTTTATAAGTGTAGCCTTATGTCACAAAAGCGTGGCTATATGAGAAAATATAAGTGTGGCCTTTGTACCATATCGGCCACACTTTTAAAGCGTGGCTTCTAAGGCAACACCTACAAAGCATGGCCAATAGTCAAAGGTTACGGTACTTTAGGACACCCCCCAAAAAGTGTTGCCTAAAGCTGTAAAGTGTTGCCTTTGCCCAAATGCTACACTTCTTGGCATCTTAGGCCACACTTCTCATGGGTGGTTGTAGGCCTAAAATGCTATAGTGGGCTGAGAGTATGTGATTACGGGTTTGAGTTAGAGAAGACTGAAGCTGAACTAGCAAAGGCCCGAGCCAAGTTATCTAAGAATGCGGAGGGACGAGCTAGTTTAGTTCAACGTCAGAAGGAGAAGTACGACAGAGGAATGGTGGGTCTAAAGAAAAAGGCCAATGTCCTTGATAACGAAATGACCAAGCAGGCAAGACACTTCAAAGCAGAAAGGGAGCACTGCTATGCCCTAATGTCGCAGCTAGAAAAGACATACAGCAACTTCAAGAGCAAAATCATACAGCCGAACAAGTTTTGGAGGCCAGATCTCAGCAGATTGGACGGTTGCTACAAGAGAAGGCTATCATCAGGAAGAGGGTTAGGAGGATTTCGAACTACATTGTGATGAAATGCAATGAACGCGAGGACATGACCAGGTCCATGTTCTTTGCTTCAGTTATGATTTTTGTCCAGCAGATCATGGACGACCTGTTTTGCCTCCAAGAAGATATGGCACATAGGCCCGCAGCGAGACCAAGCGGAGCGGTAGTGGAAGCACTTATGTATTCTTGATTTTATTTTTTTCGAGTCTGTTTTGCAGTTTCTTCTAGAGTCTGTTGGTCCAATTTGAGTCTTGTTTTAGTTTTTGAAAATGGTTAAGTCTGTAGGGTGGAATCGTTGTAATAGGAAAAAACCAGAATGTTTTTATTTTATAAAAAATTGAAAAAATCAAAAAATGTGTCTTTCTTTTATTTCACATTTATCCCCTAAACTACGTAATGATCCGATTCATGTGACGTCATGATACGTAGGCAATCCTCATAGGATTCGATCATAACCATAAAATGAAAAGGAAAAAGAGGAGAGAAAATAAAAGGAATTGAGGGAAAAGAAATAATGGCAAAACGAGAGAGAAAAACGGGTGCAAAATAAAAGGGAAGTAACAAAAACAAGTGGGAAAGGCAAGCCAACTCTTAACTACCTTTTGATGGCGCAAAATTAAAGAGGTATTGGAGTTAAAAAAAAAGAAGAGTGTCACGACCCGGACTTTCCAACCTCGGGAGTCGTGATGGCACCTACTGATGAGAGCTAGGTAAGCCAACCCTTAACTACCTTTTTCATTAACAAAATCCTTCTCTTTCCAATTAATAGAAATAGTATAAATACAGCGAAATAAATCCAATAAGCGGAAGACTTAAATTAATAAAACTGAATAAAAAATGCGAAAATTCAACATAAACCTCTACTTAAGAACTGGTGTCACCTTACTCATGAACTACTAAAAGTACTAAATACAATCATTTGAAAGATAACATAAACTGTTTGTCTCGAATACATGAGATAACAGACTGAAATAAAAGATAGAAGAGACATCGGGCTTGCGGACGTCTGCAAGGATACCTCGATGTCTCGATGGACTGAAGGCTAGCTCCCGCGCTACTACTGCTGGCCAACGCCTGGATCTATGCAAAAGAGCACAGAGTGTAGTATCAGCACAACCGACCCCATGTGCTGGTAAGTGTCTAGCCTAACCCCGGTAAGGTAGTAACGAGGCTAGGACCAGAACATCAAATAAACCTGTGCAGTTATATAAATACAGCAGAAAGACAAACAGAAACTTACAATTAAAAATGGGAAGGGGGAACATGCTTTGGGGGCAGCAGACAAAAACAGAATTCTTAAGAGAATAATAAGGAAACCAAAGTTAAACTTCTAACACAGATAAGGGAAAAAAAGGCAGCTTTCACTTTAGTTCACATCTTTTTTGCAGGCGTGCAACCCGATCCCATTTCTTATATCTTGTGGTAGGCGTACCACCCGCTCCCATTTCAATAAATCTTATGGTAGGCGTACTACCTGCTCCCATTTCAATAAATCTTGTGGTAGGCGTACCACCCGCTCCCATTTTAGGCCAATACAAAATCACAAAGAAATCCCCGCAAGGGAACTACAATATTGAAACAAACATCCCGACAAGGGAGAATCAGCTATAACCAATCTTAACTCAACTTCTACTCAGCTCAATTAATACCAATACTCAGTCATAAATATATTCCATGAAAATAAACTAACTCCTTGCCCAATATCTAGAATCATCAATTAAAGCATTCGTAGAATCATTCAAGGACACAACAAATAACAATTCAAGTCTCAAGTACATCTTTACCTCTTGATTCCACCACCAAACCACTCGAATCTAGTCACAAGTTTCTTTATTACATCAATAAATGTTAAATGAGTCAACCCCAATGCATGAAAATAAGTTTTACAAGGTTTTACCCAAAAAGGTCAAAAATGCCCCCGGGCCCACATGGTCGAAACTCGAGGTTCGGACCAAAACTAGGTTACTCATTCCCCCACAAATTCAAATATATGGTTTGTTTTGAAATCGGACCTCAAATTAAGGTCCAACTCCCCAATTTTAGTTAAACTTAGGTCCTACCCAAAACACCAATTTCCCCCATGAAAATCATTGATTTGAAGTTAAAAATCTTGTTAAAAGATGTTAATGAGTGAAGAAAATGAGTTAAAAATCACTTACCAATCGTTTTGGAGAAGAAAAGTTGTTTAGAAAATCGCCTCTTATCTTTTGGGGTTTTGAAAAGTGTAAAAATAACTGAAATTTACGTGTATTTATACCCCTCTGAAGCACCCACCGTGGACCGCACAAGAAGGACCACGGCCGCACAGGCTTCCTGAAGACCTGCGGATCTTTGCCCCGCTCGGACCGCACAAAGCCGACCGCGGCCGCGCAGCACCCCTCCGCAGCCGCACACGTTTCTTCGCGGGCCGCGCAAAAGGGTTCAGAGACCTATAATATTTTCCTGAACCTGCAACATCTGTTTTTTTTAAGCCTATGGCATCCCGGAACGTACTTGGAACTCACCCGAGCCCTCGAAGCTCTAATCCAAGTATGCACACTACCTCAAAAACACCCTACGAACATATTTGTGTGATCAAATCACCAATATAACATCATGGACATCTAATTAAGCCTCAAGATCAATGAAATTTCTCAGATTTCTTTTAAACATCAATTTCCCAATTTGGGTCCGGATCACGTCAAACGATGTCCGTTTTTAACCAAACTTTACAGGAGTGATTCAAAACATATATAAGACTTGTACCGGGCACCGGAAACAAAATACGGGCCCGATAACCATTACTTTCCCGTCAGATTTCATTTCAACTCTCTTTATACATTTTCAGAAAACAATTTCACTTAAACATTCATAACTCGGGCTTGGGACATCAAAATTCGATTCCGGGCATACGTCCAAGTCCCATATTTTCCTACGGACCCTTCGGGACCGTCAAATCATGGGTCTGGGTCCGCTTTCCCGAAAAGTTGATTGAAGTCTAATTTATTCAATTTAAAGTCAAAACTTAACAATTTTTACCAAAATTTCACATTTAAGCTTTCCGGCTACGCGACCGGACTGTGCTCGCACATCGAGGCGACTCTAAATGAGGTTTTCAAGGCCTCGAAGACATAGAATTCAATTAACACAGGTGATGACCCCTTTGGGTTGTCACAAAGAGAAAGCGCAAAATGAGAAGAGTTAGTTAAAAGCTGGGATGAAGCATGCAGCCGTTCAAATAGACGATAGAAGCTTTAAATGTTTAGGTGCATTACATCCCAAATGTGTGGTTGCCTATCTATTAAATCTTAAACACTAACAAGTTGCTGTTGTCATTGAGAACAGGGAGGTGGTTAGTTTGTTTGCCATTCTGGCAACCCATCCGTACAACACCAAGTCTAAAAACAAGTTGATCATGGCTGGTCAAGAACTGGACGCAAGTATAATTGATCCACCGAGAGAGGTGGAGGAGTTTGAGGTTGGTTTGAAAGAGGAGTTACATAAGTTGAAACACTAGATGACTGGAATATACCAGGCACGGATGAAAGGGCATCCACCACCATCATACCCCGCTAACCCTGCTTTCATCCCGCCACTAGCTCAATCCCAAGAACCTCTCACTGTTGATTCATCCCTACAACATGCACCAAGCTTCACCCCTTACCACCACTATCATGGTGCCACTTCCCAAACCATACAAGCTCCACTAGCCAAAACAACCTCATACTCCCCTTCACCAGCTACCCTTGTTTTCGTAGCACCTCCAGCAGCTACACTCCATCGATCTTCTAGTGAGACATTATTCCAGACCCAAGATAATTAGTACTATCCCCCGGAGCCTACTTTCAAGGCCCCATATCATTACTCATACACTCCTCATTTCGACCTCCCTGTTGAGACTGAGAAACCACCTAAACACTCGGAACAAGAGGAGATGTTTAGGAAAGAGAGAAGCCTATAACAATCGCTCAGAAACATGCAAGGGTTGGGAGGTCAAGTA